TGACATAGCATGACCTGAAGACTCATGCCTGTTCATATCTGATTATTTTTTGCCGGGTAGTGAATTTTTATTCGAAACTTTATTTATATTAATATTATTCCAATTTTGCTTACCTTATAACTTTAGAACCATTACGGAAGACGGCCATCGACACCATCGTCCCTAATTCATTAGCTGTTAAAGAAAGCTCTCGAAATTCAGCCTGCTCAACTCGAATTTCATAGTCCCCATGGAGCCTGCGTCCTCGAAAATACTTACTCCAATCAGTGTTCTGATCATCGATGACTAGGAGGGTAAAACAGCGATCTTTATTATATGCATGGCCTCGATTTGATCCACTTACGGCTGCCCCGAGAATCGATGCACCCTGGAATTAATTGTTATGTTTTTAATTTCATAATTTAGTATAATTTCATAAATTATCGTAATCAAGAATTTAAGAGTGTTTAAAAAGTACAATAATATTCCAAATTTAACATAATAATATAATGAACCTGATATAAGTCCTAATATGATTACGATTGCTTTTCTTCTATAAAAATTATTGACTCGAGAAAAATGCTCTTGATTCAAGAGAATTATTACGAAGATAACCGATTGTCTTGTCTCAAAATGTTTTCGTTTTCATTTTTAACTCATTAGCTTAAGAAATCTTTGATCGATAATTTATGAGCCTTAATTGAAAAAGATCAATTCCATAAAATTTGAATTTTTCGACCAAGAAAAACAAGTAAAACATACGGCACGTCTTAGCTTTGAATTATACTCATTATTATTTAAAAACTCACATGTTATATAAAATAATGTTATGTTGTTGACATTTTAGTTAAAAAACTCGTATCACTTTTTTATCCAGTTCAAAAAAATTCTAAAATAAAAATATTTATACCTGATCACGAGCAGCTCCAGTAAGACTCTGTACTCTCTGTAAAAGACTTTCACGAGTTTTTGCTGGTGACGAAGGTGCGCTAGTAGTTCGTGATCCATGTCTAAGATTAAGGCTAAGATC